TATTTCGGGCTTGTGTGGTTTGGGGTAGGATTCGTGTGAGATGGGGGCTGAGGGGCTGCTTATGAGGCGTATGTAGCAAGCAGTCTGGTACTTGGGTGGTTGTCAAAATTAGGGTCCCTTTCGGGGTCCCAAATATTGTACGGCACCTCATATGTAGGGTACCCAAAAAGGGCCATAATTTTGACAACCACCCATGTAAGGATGCGTTGTTTGCTGAAACCCCGAAAGACCAAACTAAGCCCTGGCATGTTTGGGTTTCGGGGTTTTCACTGTTCGGGTTTAGGGTTTAGGGCTTTCCTTAAGCCGGAATAACCTACCTTTTTGAGGACTTATATCAGAAAATCATAATAAGGAACCCCCAAAAGGTAGGTTATTCAGGGTTAAGCTTAGGTTTGCAGAGTCGGAGTCTAGGGTCACAGTTAGGCTCCTGAAAGATTGAAAAGCGTTAAATCCCAAAGCTCAAAACTCTACGGGCGCCGAGACGTAGGGTTTAGGGTTACCCTTAAACCCTAAACCCTTAAACTCCTAAACTCTAAATCCCATTTAAAGCCCCTAAACACTAAACCCTAAACTCTCAAGAGCAGGATAAATAGAAATTGTGTGACTTTCGAATCGAATTGCATTTTCATTCGTTTCGAAGTTTCATTAAACGTGTGGGAAGAAAGCGCAGCCCAAAAACAATCATATCCAAGCGCTTCACCTTCAGACCCAGAGCCCCAGCCCAGCCCCAGCCCCAGCCCCACCAGCCCCAGCCCCCCCCCCAGCCCCAGCCCCAGCCCCAGCCCAGCCAGCCAAGAATGCGAAATCACAAGTTAAAAAACAAAACCCGCTCAAAGCTTTCGCTCAAAACCCCGGACCCAAATTTCTAGGCCCAGCCCAATCCACTCAGCGATGGCATTGCAGCCCACAGCCCCCCCAGCCCCCCCAGCCCCCCCAAGCCCCCCCAAGCCCCCCAGCCCCGCCCCCATCAGGACCCCAGCCTGCCCAAAACGAAAACATCAAGTTAAAAAACGAAACCCGCTCAAAACGTTTCGGTCAAAACCCGGGGCCCAAACCCTATACAATTTCTATAAACCCCTAAACCTTAAACCCTAAACCCCTAAACTCTAAACCCCCATTTAAAGCCCGCAGCTCGAGGCAGTCTGACTACCTCGCTTGGGCTTTGACTGAAGTGAGCCGATTGAAGGCTCGACCGGGAACCACAGCAACTGTAGTTAAACCCTACCTTAACCCTGAATAGCTTACCTTTTTAGGGTTCCTTATCATGATTTCCTTATATACGTCCTTAAGAAGGTAGGTTATTCCGGCTTAAGATACAGCTGTAATTAATCCCTAAAGCCTGTTTGGAGGGTCAGGGACAGTAAGTCGTGAAAAAGTAGGGTTATCATTGGGGCAACGCCATTAACTCTACTTATAACCTACTTTCTAAGTCCCCTGCCCCTCCAAGTACACGCTAGAACCCTCAGCCAACAAGAAGAAAGACGACAACAAGGACATTATGGACTTGCCCTTCCCACTGAAGGGCAGGTTCAACAACAAGACCTTTCTTTGACCTTGCTGACTTGAAGAATAGAAGCAGGGTTGCTTCAATTCGTGGCAAAATCGGTGAGAAGTCAGGCGTAATGCAGAAGCAGTGGAAGAACATTACTTTGACGATGGAGGACGGCACGGAGTTGTCTTCAACAAGCACTGCGCTTATCAACACCAAGATTCGCCCCAATGACATCATCATCGCCCACATCAACGAGGAGCAGAAGTCCGATGAGCCCAAAGAGTCCGATGAAGCTAAGGGAAGCACCGAGCAGTGAAACTTAGCCTGAGAGTATCCATACAGCAGTGGACATTTCCTTAAACCCTAAAGCCTAAAACCCTAATACCCTAAATCTTTTGTTAGGAATGTGCCACTGTTTGCCTTTGACCGCTCGTAGGCAGACACTACTTGCAACACGTCGACTCCGGGTTAAAGCCATGAGAACTGAGGCTTTCTCCTTCAGGGCTTCAGGGTTTCGGGGATTAGGCTAGCGTGTGCCTTGGGAGTCATCATGCTTTGGTTTTGCTATAGTGTAAGGGATGAGACGCCACTCAGCCTTAAAACCCCTAAATCCCGAACCCATTGTTGAAAACTTTTCGGTTTTAAGGAGGCGGGTGGAGTCGAGATACCGGTTCTTTGGTTCAGGGTTCAGATGAAACAGGATGATGGTGTTTGATTTAAAGTTTCGGGGGATCAGTTTTAGGTTGGGCAGTTTTAGGCGCTTTCCTTCAAGGTTTATGGCGTATACCCCAAAGGTCCAAGTACCCAATAATCATAGACTCTCCAGAATCCTAACCTACATAACTACTACCCTAAAACCGAGTACCTTATTATTGGGTCCTTTGGACCCTTGGGGTTAGTTAATACGGAGAAGGATTCGGAATTCTGAAAAAGATCCTGAGGCCCTCGTTTTCGTTTTTTTTGGTGTTCGTTGACTTTCCCTTGACCCAAACACTAGGTCCTAAACCCTAAACCCTTAACCCTTAAACCCTGAACCGGTTTCTTGTTCTCAGCTTCGGCGTAAGCTTTGGGGTTTTCGTTTTTTTGGTTTTGGGCTTGGGGTTAAGGGTTTAGGATCCGGGGCCCTGGACCAGGGTTCAGGGGTTTGGGAATTTGGGGTTTTATGGATTTAGGGGCGGTGTAGGGTTTAGGGTTTATGCTCTAGTTACTTAGTTGTTTAGGAAGTTTGGGGATACGGTTGATGATATAGATCTAGCATTACCTTAAGGATCCTAAACTCTGGGAATTATGGTACTTTCCTTATTATTATGGGTAATGCAGGATTTATATCATCAACCGTGGGATTCAGAGATAGTAGGATTCAGAGATGACTGCAAGGGTCTAGGTTTGGGAGGGCTTAGGGGTGCAAGTCAGCGGTTGAAGTGCTGACCCTAAACCCTAAACCCCCAAAACCCCAAAAAAGCCCTAAACCCCAAAAACCCTAAACCCCCAAAACCCTAAACCCAAAAACCCAAACCCTAACCCCCCCCCCACAAAAACAAAAAAACAACACAACAAAAGCCTAAACCCTAAACCCGTGCATTGCCACCGTAAGCCTCCAGGCGGCATGCGGATCTGGGCCCGGCACTTACAGGGTTTGAGTTTAGAGAGGCGGTATGTGGATATGGGCCCGGCACTTACAGGGATAGAGTTTAGGGATTTGGGGCTAAGGGTTTAGTTTTTAGGGGTTTAGGGTTTGGGGTTTTAGGGATTTTTCACACACTTTCAACATGATGTTCGGTGCCTATGGCCCTGCATAATCTTAGGGGTCGAGCGAAGTCTCTAAACGTTCTGGGGCAGTGAAATCCCCATGTAGGAGTTTCCGAAAACAGGGGACCCTAATATAGTAATTAAAATAGTAGGATCCCTATTATAAGGATCCCAAAATAAGTTAACCCTAATTTTCGGAAACCCCATGTAATGCCAGGGGTTGCCCTTTGATTCCCTTCTGGAACTTGACATGTAGGCATTCTTCGAAAGTCCCGCATGCACCATGCACACTACCTTGAGTGCGGGCCTGGGGCGAGTGCCATATACTGTACTGCTGTGTAGGGTCTGATCTGTGTGTTGTTGCTTCAATGCACCTAGTGTTAGAGTGTTAGAGTACCAGAAACGGCTGTACTGTTGCCCTTAGCCCATTGAAGTTAGTACGCTAGCCTATACCCGAGCACCTGCACCCTGTCGTCTCGCCATCCAAACCCATTTCATCCTAAACACCAAACTTGAAGCCCTAAACCCTGACTTATCTAGGATGCCCAGTAGTACCCTTATTCCCTTTTTGTAGTCCTAGGTTCCTTATAAAGTTACCCAATACCAAAAAGAGAGGCCTTTTTATTCTTAGGTTACTGGGTATCCTAGTTATCGTTGGTCTGAATGTCCCGGCGGTCAATATCAAACCTTGGCGGAGCGACAAAAGTCCGCACCAAAAGCCTGAGCTGTCCTCTTCAGTAGCTGTTATCAAATGGGAAAAGGAGGGACCCTTGATAAGGACCCCTAGGTATATACCCTTAATATAGCCACTATATACCCACTATATAGCCCACTATAGGGTAGGGGTCCCCATTAAGGGTCCCTCCTTTTCCCCTTTGATGTTAGAACCAAGTTGATTCCAGGTCCCCGACCCTTTGCGCATATGGGAGTTCCCGAAAATAGGGGACCCTAATTTAGTATCGTAAAAAAGAAGGACCCATATTATATATAAGGACCCCAAAATAAGATACCCCTAAATTTCGGAAACTCTAAACCCTAAACCCTAAACCCTTTATAGAACTCTTCTAGATCCCTTACAGGATCCCTTTAAAGGTACCCCTAAAATTTCGGAAACTCCCATATGCTTAGCCTCGACTTGTTGGATGAATCGTGGCCTCCTCTGGGTGTTGGGCGTGTTGCGGTCCAGAGGAACAGGGCCTTGGGTTTGGGGGGTACCATAAGGCTCTAGGGTTTAGGGTTTAGGGTTTTGGGGGTATAAGGCTCTAGGCTTTCAGGCTTCTGGATCTGCTTGAAATGCTCAAGTTCATAGTTCCCGTGTCTGCTCCTAGTTTGCATTGACACCTGGCTTTAGGGCCTGAGCTATTGGGCTTCTAGTGAAGGGCTGAGAAAGGGCTGATTGATCGACTGACTGCTTCATGTGCTTCATTTGCTACAGTGAAGGATTGTGTGTTCAGGGTTTAGGGCTGGGGCTATTGGGCTAATAGTGACGGATTGTGGGTTCAGGGTTTAGGGAAGAAGCGTCTCAAGAATCCAAAAGACTCCAGCCCTAGTGAGGAACACCCAAAAAGGCGGCTAGAATCGACTTGTGAATACATTGTACCGGAATTGTGCAGGGTTTGTGAAAAGCATTCCCAACCCTAATCCCGATACTCGCCCTAAACCTTCAACGACGCAGTCTCGGACCCTGCATGCCCGAGCAGTTGTGCTCAAGCCAGTTCCGTTCCGGTGCAGGCCGGTTTAAGCCTGAGGTGGTGTAGACATGTTGACCTGGCTGTTGATTTGCAACCTGCTGTCCCGAGCTTGGGGAGCCGCATCGGCGTCGGTGGGCATGACGGATGTTGGTGGCAACATCAGCCTCTCTGCCAGGGTCGCTGCTTGCATCATTTTTATGCACATGCTTTCAAGAGTACATAAGTCCTTTGACCCTGTGTTCCCCGGGAGTTCTGCATGAGAAGGGGATGCCGTAAGTTATCGATTATGAGCAGATTGGCAAGGACACAAGAAACGGTACGTAAGCAAGCAACTGCTTGAGCTAATCGGCATAGACAGATCGACAGGTAGGTAGGTAGATGGATAGAAATATGTAGACAGACAGATAGGTAGCCAGATAGACAGACCGGCAGACAGACTGACAAACAGACAGACAGGCAGACAGCCAGGCAGCCTACAATACTACTATAATACTACTATAACACTATATTGCTACTATAATGCTATGATACTACACTACTATAATACTATAGTAATACTCTCATACGGACCGACCGACAGGCAGACCGGCAGACAGGCAGACAGGCGGACAGGCGACCCGGCGGCCAGGCAGGCAGACAGACAGACAGACAGATAGATATAGATGCGGATACGTTGCATGTGCGTAAATACACAGTTCGAAAACACCATCTAAATTCAAACAAAATAAGCCAACCAGATCATGTACCTAGATACTGTACATACACTTATCACCAATTATCCATCCTCCATCCCTCCATGCCTCCAGCCCTGCAGCCCTCCAGCTCTCCATCCATCCATCCATCCATCCATCCATCCATCCATCCATCCATGCATCTATGCATCCATCTGTCCATCCGTCCATCCAGCCAGCCAGCCATTCAGCTATCCATCGATCCATGTATCCATGTCAGCATCATCTTCATCTTCCTCTTCGCTTTCCTCATCCTCATCATCTTGTTCGTCAGCATCATCCAGCAGCATCATCGTCACAATCCCCCTTGTTTTTGTGATCATCAGCACCTTCACCGTCGGTGTTGACCTCAGAGTCACTACCAACATCATAGTATGTAGGCAATCCTTCCGGTCATCGCATCGGCGTTCTTCCTCGCCTTTCCTATTAACTAGTTTTGTCATAACGGTCAGTATTGCATTCACTGCCTCCATCAATTTACGATGGCAGTGGCATGCACTCACTAGTTCAGCAGTTTTCAAGCAGGGGAACGATGATGACTCCACGCTGCAGAACACGTCAATGCAGCACAGAGGATGCTCCGTGAAAGGAAGGATCCGGAGAACAACACAAAGGCCTATGAATTTCATCTTGTCATTTAATCTCAGTGTTGTTGTCAGCACGGAGACACAAATCACCGAATCCCAAACACTACACCTTAAAGAGTACAACTCACGGTGCAAAGGACTTCGGCAACGACAATTCCAATTGTGGAGCGTCCGCAGTGTGTGACTCCCTCAATGCTTCATGCTTGGCCAAGGCGCAGAAACTTGCTTGTCTTGGGGTGTGTGGTTCCCATGTCATGCACGTGGGGGCATGCATTGATTGTATTGCTAGCTTTGTTACGGTGACAACGTTGATTCTAATCGAACACCGAACCCGATTCTCGTTCGTGCTCTTCCTTTGCGGCGTATGTACATGTTAGTTAGCTTCAGGATTTGGGACTGTTTCGGGTGTGCCTTGGCCACGAACTTCAAGTCATGAACGACTGCAGCCCCAGAGCCTCCAGAACCCCTTAATGAAGGAATATACCTTAAATCATATTATGGATCCTACTATACTTTAAGGTATATTCCTTACTTAAGCGGTTTTGGAGGCTCTGGGGCAGCAGAAACCCATACGTTTCCAAGCTCTGTCTTCAGCCCGCCGAGACTGTACTGTTGATGGACAAAATCCTGCATATAAATCCCTAGAGCTCCTTTAAAGGGATCTATAGGGGTACCTTTAATGGGCTCCTTTAAGGGATCTTTAGGGTTTAGGGATATAAATCCTGCATGACCCTAAGAACTCTAAACTATGGGAACTATGGCATATTCCTTATAATGGGTACTGCAGGATTTTGTCCATCAGCAGTATCAGTCATGTATAGTCAGGTGTAAGTAGGGGTTTACTTCCAGAGCATTCGGAGTGCTGGCAAGATACCATCAGAAGTGTCAACCAGCAATACTGGAAGTACTACCTAGTCTGCCTTTCCCGTAATCTTTAGACCGTAAACCCATGGGGACTTCGCAGCTCCCCAGCTTGTACATGGCTTCGAATGAGGCGGCTCGAGATTTCAATGTTAGGAGGTATGCAGAAGTCAGCCGACTTAACAGGCAGAGTGACATCAGTTCTCCGTTGCTGGTCAGACCTGTGATGAATACTATAGAGGCCTAAATAGCTATCAATGCTATTCTTGGGGTTCTTTATTACAATCAAAGTATAATGCGCCCCAAAACCCTATTCAAATTATTGAGGCCCTTCTTTTTGGTGATGATGGCATTGCCTGCGGTGGAAGCGATTTTGTCACACGAGACCTGCAGTATCCAACTTTATGACAAGACAGTTGTTGCGTACAGACTTAACAGTAGTGCTTCTTGTCTTGCATAAACCTTAAACCCTATAAGCCCTTCGAAATATACCCCTAGGAAGCAAAAGCCTGCATATCTCTAAGCCATTTGAGAACCCTTACCAAGCAGTGCAAGGCGCCCAAGTTGCAACCGGAGCTGTGCCAAAGTCTCGGCTCCATGTCCGTGCAGTATGTCACGACGGCGACCGAGCAAGCGAGGGCCCTGGGGTTCTCAAAGGATAGGGTTTAGGGTTTAGGGTTTAGGGTTAAGGGTGGGGTTGCTTGAAGGGCTTTGAACGGGTTCCTCCAAGGGTTCCTTCTTCAACGAGGATCACGGACGAAAATGTCACGACATACGCCCGAACTATCCCGAGGCCTGGGCACATCGAGTTTAGTTCAGGCTTGTGGCATTTGGGAGTTTCCGGAAACAGGGGACCCTAATATACTACCCTCAATAGTAAGATCCTTATTATAAGGCCCCAAAATAAGGTACCCCTAATTTCGGAAACTCCCATTTAGGGTTGATGGGCTTAGGCCCAGAGCCTCCGAAACCCCTTACTTAAGGAATATACCTTAAATCATATCATGGATCCTACTATAAGGTACCCCTGATTTTCGGAAACTCCCATTCTTGGGCCAAAGAAGAAGGAAGAGGCGCAGTGCAAGTCTGGTACATCAAAGGGGAAAAGGAGGGACCCTTAATGGGGACCCCTACCCGATAATGGGGCTATATAATGGGTAGATAATGGCTACAATAAGGGTGTATACCTAGGGGTCCTTATCAAGGGTCCCTCCTTTTCCCCTTTGAGTACAGGATGTAGTCTTCTACTTCTGGCGGAAGGCGGTGCAGCTAGGGTTTAGGGTTTAGGCTTTAGGCATTAGGGTTTAGGGTTTAGGCTTTAGGGTTTAGGGTTTAGGGCTTAAACTCTAAACTCAACACCAAAAACTATCCCAGGTGAGCAACTACTACATGAGGCTTGGTCGCAGTTGGAAGATTTGCGACGAGCGTGGAGCGGCAGTTCGCAAGCCGTCTGAGCGAATGAGATCGTACAGACGGTTCCAGTGCGACACTCTTCAGATTCCTCAGATAGCCATGTGGCACTTCAAACAAAAGAAAGAGGTCATGACAAGCAGAAAGCCTCCGCGTGAATCCAAACACAAGAAGGCTTCCAAAGATCGTTTAAGCTAGAGGCAGCACTTGCCAACAGAGATGACCCTAATCCCCTAAATCTCTAAGCCCTAAAACCTAAACCCCTGAACCCCCAAACCACTGAACCCCTGAACCCCTGAACCCCTAAACCCCTAAACCCCTGAATCCCCTAAACCCCTAAACCCTAAACCGTCCCGCCTAGGAGCAATGACTGTTCAGGAGGCTCCGTCAGCGCAGAGACTAGGTATGGATTTGGAATGTTTTCTAATTGCCACTCATTTTCTGGGTTTAGTCCCTAAGCCCTAAACCCTAAACCCTAAACCGTAGTAGTTTTGAGGTTTTATCTAGAGCCCCAATTAGACATGGTTTTGGGGACTGTTGAAGTCGACCGCTAGGAGAGGGTGCAGTCGGGTGAGTGCAAAGCCCGCGGTGACAGCAACGAGGATTGCGGGATTTGGTGCAGGGTTTAGGGATTTAGGGTATAGGGTTTAGGGGTTTAGGGTTTAGGGCCAGGGATTTAGGGTACAGGGCTTAGGGCCGGGGTTAGTGTCAATGTATGCCTGAAACCGTAGTTCCTCAAATCCAAAACGAGGCAGCATTTCATGTAGAGATTGGCCCCCAGTTTATGTGCATGTGGACAGCTCCACCTCAAGGGTCCTCTATCTTGCTGATTCCGCGACGACGACGTATGCTGATATACTCAACTCTAGTGCTACTACTGCTGCTCCGGCTACTGCTACTACGACGACGACTACTGCTATTACTGCTTTTCTGTCGTGGTGATCCTGACGGCAGGAAGCTCGTCAGTACTTCCCGTTGGTCGGCGTCTGCAACGGTGAAGAGACGGGCAACTTCACCAAGTACTACATCTCGTACACACCAATGTTTAGCACCTCCGCGGAGTACCATCCGACGGATGTTTGCCTGAGCAGCGGTGAGGGAGAGTCAGACGTATGGACCGCTCATGAGGGAAGGTTGTTCCGAGTTACTTAGTAGCTGAGTGGATACACTTTACACTTTGTGGGATAATACTACCCGTACTACCCGCTATAAAACTGAAAGTCTACACTTTGTGGGGCTTTTGAACTCAGCAACTAAGGTTACCTTCGCCAACAGTTCCTGCACGGGTGAGCCGGAGAGTGTGACAGACCTGACTAGCAGTGCAACCATCACGCCGGCAACTTTCTGCTTGGATTTCTCGACCGTCCACGTAGATTGGAATTTGGATGGTATCGTGGGCAATGACGGCAGGAACGTCACCCTTCAGGTCACAACTACATCCACCACAACCACCACAACCACCACAACCACCACAACCACAACAACCGCAACAACCACCACAAGCACAACCACAACTTCAGGAGCTTCAGAAAATCAGTCAGCGACCGCGGGCAATGAGACATCAACTTCCACAATGGGTGGAGTGGTGGCAGGTGCTCCCATGGTATCCCACTATGGTGCATCTGTTTGTGCCATCATCGCCATCTCCATTTCTTCCTAGAGGCTAAAACGGCAGTTGAAAGTTCAAGCTAAACAGCTTGACGCTGACTTCCCAAATATAGGTGCCTGAATAATTAGTAGTTGGTACTGCAGATTTACAGCCCCCTATATATGTACTAAAGCTACCATCCCAAACCCTATTCTGATCAATTATTCTGGTCCCTATAGTACCCTATACGATTGCCCTCCTGCCGTAGCTGCATTGCCCTAAAAGGGCTCGCAGTTCCATCAAATGCAGGAGAAGGCCTCCCTTGACCGCTTTGATGATGCTCAAGAGCTTGAGGGTTTACGGTTTAGCGCTTTAGGGCTTTAGTGTTCAGGGTTTTTGGCGCGCAGGATTCAGAGCTTTGGGGCTTCATGATCTGAATATGATCACTGTTTTCTGTGGCCTTCCGGGGCTGCAGCTAGATTAGCAGCTAGCTCGCCTCCGCACAAAGGCTTCGTTTTGCCAGTCATTTCAATATTTCGGATGGGGTGCGTAGTCGGAGTTTCCATTTCAATCAGCTCCTGCTGGTTAGCACAAGGTTTGGGGTCTAGGGTCAGTGGAGGTGCCGAACTAAGATCCTCACAAAAGCATGACGAAGCGACGGCACATCATCATCATCATCATCATCATCATCATCATCATCATCATAGGCAGGTTCCTACTGCTCGCTACTTATGTTTAGGTGAATGCTACGCGCGATCTCGACAGGTCGCAACTTGTCGAAGTCCCGTCTGCATCTGAAGCCGTCCTGCTATTCAATTCCAAACTCTCAACCGTTTCTTCAAAGGAACAGGGTCCTTCAACAGCAACCCAAAGCCCTTTTGGAACACGAACGCCCCGTAAAACAACACCCAAACCCTGAACCTTAAAGCCTAGACTCTACACCCTAAGCCTATAACCCTCAGCCTCCCCCAACCCCTACAAAATAGTACCCAGAAAGCCCAATACCCCTTAGGAATATAGCTTCAATCATATTATGCGTCCCCTTATAATTTGGCATATTCCTTAATTAAGGAGTATTGGGCTCTCTGGGTAGGTTATGAGCCTCTAATTATAGGGTCTAACCCCTAAAGCAGTAGGTTTTGGGATCCCCAGGTATACCCTCAACCCCTAAACCCTAAACCCTATAGATCCCTTAAAGGAACCCGTATATTATAGTACCCTTTAAAGACCCTAAACTATACCCTAAACCCTAAGCCGTGTCTCAATCTCCACTCAGGTCGACGTCCAGTTCCATGCCCTCCTCCCCCCAGTTCGAGACAGAGGATGGGAGATCTACATGGAGGGTTGTCAATACTGCTGATGGACAAAATCCTGCATGACCTTGATGTCGTAAGATCGCCCTCCTTACTAACATGGTGCTTAAGGGTCTAGAGGTTAGGAAGATTTCGGGGACTGATGGAAATTGCTTTTTAAAATCAGGTTCGCACCTTTCCCTTCACTCAGGGTCTTTGTGAAGGGGCCGCATGGGCATCCCAGGTAACATAAAAGGTCCAGGGCAGGGAAGGTTTCCGAAGGTTAGGGGCCTGAGGGTTCCTTTAAAGGGTTACTATAAGGGTTCCTTCAAAGGGCTCTACAAGGGTTTGGAGTTTCCGAAAATAGGGGTACCTTATTTTGGGGTCCTTGTAAGAAGGATCCTACTATTTAGGGTACTATATTAGGGTCCCCTATTCTCGGAAACTCCTATATAACAGGTCCAGGGCAGGCAGCGTTTTAGTCTCTCCGGTTTAGGTTTTTGGGGTGTGCGGGGAACTCCAGAAAGTTGGAATATGGTTTCATGGTAGGATACCCTATAATTTACCATAGAAGGGTTAGGATAATCATATTCCACTTTTCTGGCTGTTACCTTAGGCCCGAAAGATGAACTCCAGACGCCTTAAAGGGGACCCTACTGTTGATGGACAATATCCTGCATGACCCTAAGGAATCTAAACTATGGGAACTGTGGTATATTCCTTATAATGGGTAATGCAGGATTTATATCCTTAAACCCCAAAACCCTATAGATCCTTCAAAGGAATCCCTTAAAGGTACCCTTATAGATCCCTTTAATGCAGGATTTTGTCCATCAGCAGTATCAGCTTTTCTACTTCTAGGATCTTGGGGCTGAGGGTGTAAGGTCTGCACCTTCGGTTTGACTCGGGATCGTCATGTGCAATACATATGGGTGGTTGTCAAAATTATGGTCCCTTTTTGGGTACCCTAAGTATTAGGTGCCGTAATATGACCCAAAATGGGGCCCTAATTTTGGCAACCACCCATATCATAAAGTCCCATAGTCACTATAGCACCCTGAAAGGGACCCTTCTGAAACCCTAACCTCGCAGGAGCCCTTAACGAAGCCCTTAATTAATAAGATCCCATGAAAGGAGCCCTTAAACCCTAAACCTCCAAACCCTAAACCCTAAACCCTAACCCTTAATCCTAAACCCTTAAAGGAACTCCGGGGTACCCTATAAACCCTCAACCCCCAGTCCCCTCAACGGCCAGGACGGCGAGCTTGGCCAAAACGTCCCTGGCTTCGCGTCTCCCGAAATCGCACGTTGTCGGCGCCTGGAGGAGGCGTGCCTCAGGGCATCTTTGCTTAAAGGGATCATGGGACTTAGGGTTCCTTAAAGGGCTCCTTCAAGGGATCTATAGGGGTTCCTTAAAGGGATCTGTAGGGTTTAGGGTTTTGGGTCTACTTTAAGGATCATGGGACTTAGTAGTTGGGGTTATAAGTAAGGTAACTACAGTTATAATTGCATATAACCTTAATTAAGGTACTTATCACCCTACTTACTAAGTCCCATGATCCTCCAAGTGGGGCTTAGGATCTGGGGTTTACCGGTTTAGGGTTTAGGGTATCTTGCAACGGTTCCTTGCAAGGGTTCTACAATGCAACACGGTCTACAGTACAAGGCTTCTTATACAGGAAACTCCAGAAAGTTGGAATATGGTTTCATGGTAGAATACCCTATAATTTACCATAGAAGGGTTAGGATAATCATATTCCACTTTTCTGGCTTTTACCTTAAGGAGTTTGGGCTTCGGTGGCTCAGGCTCTCGGGCTTTGGGGGTGCAAGCATTTAAGCTTTGGGATTGCATGAACATTCCGGGGACTCGGTAAGTAAGCAGGCAAAACAGACTCAACTTATCAAATGCACGATGTGGACTATTATTCTAGAAGCTTCACTCTGAAATTTTCGCACAGTAGTGCCGAGAGATAAAGAAACAGAAAACAACGTGTGTCACCTCTAGGATATCAGAAATCAGGGCACTTCTAGCCCCTACCGCAATTTACCTGCCTGGCCCCCTGATCACTAGACCCTGAACACTAACCCACCCTTCTCCAAGGAAGAGAACCCTGAACCGAATACCTTAAACCCCATAATGTAGGAACCTGATTAAGAAACCCTGGGCCTATAACCCAAAAATAGTAGGATTCATATAAGGAGCCCTAATAAAGGCCCAAAGTTTTTTAATCATTCCTACATGATTATAGTACCCTTATAGATCCCTTATCGTAACCCTTATAAGGCCCAAGGTTTCTTCACCAGGTTCCTACATTACCCTAAACTCCCTAAACCTTAACCTAAACCCTAACCCCTAAACCCTAAACCCGAAGGCACTCTTCCTCATGCCTTATGATACTGTAATGTTGTCTTCCGGTTGCAGGAAGATGACAAGAAGTCACAGGAGGCGGCAATCTACCTGAAGTCTCAAAGCAGTATTTACAAGCCTAGATTCCGACCGGGACTCGCCACTGGGCAACTGCAACGAGGCCAGAACCACATCGAAGAACCATCACTGTTATCTTCCGACCGCAGGAAGATGACAAAAGAGGCAATCTTTCCGAAGTATCTCAAATCAGCATTTACCCCAGGGGGCGACGGAAATCATCCACCGCGTTTCAGAGGCCTCTGTCATGGTTGTCGGCACGCTAGAGGAAGCGGCCACGGCCACGATATCCGAGATGTCCCGGATGGCCCAAATAGCGGTGCGGGTATGTGGTTTCGCAGCCCTGGTTCAGGCCTTGTGGCCCCTGAACCTTAAACCCCCTAGGCCCTAAACCCTAAACCCCCGAACCCCTTTTCCCTAAACTCCCTAAACCCTAAACCCCGCTAAACCCTAAACTCCTTTAACCCTAAACCCTAAACCCCCTAAACCTTAAACCCCCTAAACCTTTAGCAAAAGCACCGGACTTCGGGCCGGAGCTGCCAACTTGATCCTTCGAAACGTACCTTAAAGGTTTAGGGTTGCTTAGAAGGATCTATAAGGGTTCTAAGGCGTAGGGGTTTAGGGGTTTACTTGGAGGCCCAGGGGACTTCGTTTTTCGGTTATAAGTAGGTAACTCCATTTCGTGTACTTATAACTCAACTTATAACCTACTAGGTAAGTCCCCTGGGCCTCCAAGTACAGCTCTGTTGGCTGCCTGTTCAGCGAATAAAGCGGGATCAAGAATCAGCATCGAGTTTTGGACTGGATTTTTCCAGGGCTGTAGGTACGGAACCTCTAGGCAGAGTATCACCAAGTATTGAGGCTTCCAAACTACAGGCTCTGCGGCCGCAAACCCCCAGTTGACATACTTAGCCGTGAAACACTATACCCCGCATGCTAAACGCTGGATTCCTCCATTACACTAAGCCCCAAAATCTCAAAAACCGCAGCCCCTAAACCCTTAATCCTGAACTCTGCACCCTAAGCCGGTTCGAAGGCGTACTATCTTCTCCGGAGGGACCTTGACAGCGCCCCTGCTGTAGTCGACAAGGCCACTCAGACAGACTGCTCTTCGGCGAACCCAGAGTTTAGGGTTCAGGCTTTAGGTTTAGGGTTCAGGGTTTAGGGGTTCAGGGGGTTTAGGGTCTGAGATTTCAAACATTTGGGAGTACTTCTCTTCGTTTTCTTGTTGGAAAGATCTATTAGAAAATGAAAATGCGTCGTTCTGTTGAGGGAAGGGCCAGAGAATGAAACTACAAGGCCTGAGTCCTCAATGTTGCTATGAATCCAAAGCCCTAAAGCCTGAACCTTAAACT